TCTTCTTCTTCAAGCTCTGCTTCATCGCAGGCAACCTCTTCTCTGCCAAAAGTCATTTGCCATTACATAACTATATTCATCCTTCTTCCAAATAAAGTCGTTTAAGTTATTTTGTGTAGGGACAAAAGAAAAGGCAAGCATTAAATCAGAAAATAGGGTTTAGTAGCTTTCAACAACGAAGTACATTTTTGGGTTAGATAATATTTTAGCTATAAGTTGCTTCCAACCTATTGTAAATTAATTAAAACACGTATGCTGAGTGCATAAAAAACAATCAAAGCTAAGTACACCAATAAACATTATCAAAATGCTACCATAGACTGAATGCTTGTTCCTATTTATGTTTTGAGAAATAAATGGTCTTTTATTTCAAAAGCTCGTCTGAAAGGCAACCAAAAAATAAAAGATAATTATTTCTCCAAAAGAAGCTAATTCTTAATGAAAATCCAAAGCACATAAAAATATTTAACATCAATTCCACGCTAGACTGCAACGTTTATGGCTCCAAAGAATGCTTTAAACTGAAATTCTGATATAAGCACGATATTAGTACCAAAGGTTTACTGCAGAAAAAACACAGAACTTGATGGACTTCTTTAATCAAGAAGTCAATAACACGTGATTCACACATAACAGACCCAAACACAATGAATAGCCTCGTCTTATTCAATGAATTGAAGAATACAATTGTATCGAAAACACTCAAGGAAGCCAAACCTCCCTCCACTGGACTAAGTTCCAGTAAACTCAACAAACAAAGAATACAGAATGAATCCCTCCCTTTACAACTAACTCTTTATTTATGCTCCTCTATACCTCTAACTAACTGCTAACTAAACTCTCTGCTTCCCGCCTTTATTCTTTCTCACATATACTTTTAATCCTCTATCAGAACTCACTGGTGAATTTAATCATTTTGAATAAATGCACGTAGATTCAATCATGTATTTAAACAATGACATAAATTCTCATTTTCTATCACCAAAGATAAAACTGTAACCATGTCTGCTCAAAGCAGAGATGGAAACTAAATTCCTTCTCATGAAACTGAAAGGAACATAAGCAGCATATGGTTTCCCCAAACTTGTACATCCCTATAAAGAATTCACAGCATGAATAGTGGCACCTAAGTTTAACCACCAAGTCTTTGGAAGAACATCAACCACATTAGGTTCAAGGCAAGTTAGAACTAAAGAAATTACCTTGTTTTCCTTGTTTCCTTTTAATATAAGAATCTTTCCCCTTGTGACCTTACTTCTTGCAATTACCCATAATTTATTTCTTAGTGGGCTTCCAACAAGTTGTGCCACCTTTTTAACATTCTTCTTCCCTTGGAAAGCAAATTTCTTAGCACCTTCGAAATTAAAACACCTTGATCTTCCGTGCTCTTGAATCTCTGCCTTCAAAGTTTGACATCGAGAAGACTTCATACAATATTAAAAAACATGAGAGGCAAGGGAATGGACAAATTGCTACAGTCACTCAAGAGGAAGAATCAACGAAAAATCCAAGACTGGGCATCCAACTTGCCACTTCTACTTCAGATACTATTAAAGGTGCTGCTAGGACATCTAATTTCAAATGGAAGAATGTAGAAATGGTGTCACAACCTGCAGAGTCCCAATAACAAATACTTTTAGGGTAATTGCAAGTATGGTTACAAGGCCGAAGATTGCTATATTCTTAAAAAGAGACAAGAAAAGGAAGGTCATTCCATAGTTCTAACTGTTGAATCTGATGTGATTGATGTTCCTCCGAATTCGTGGTAGTTAGATTTCCTATTCATGTTGTGAATTCTTTACGGGGGGGAGGGGGATCACGTGTCTAGGGAAACTAAGTGTGATTGTTAAGGATGGAGCTGAAGTACCTGTAATGACACAAGAATTGTTTCTTTATGTTTACCTTTCGGGCACACTTTATTGTTGATAAAAGATGTTTATGTACCTAAAGAAATCTAACTTTGATCCATGCCTTAGACAGATGTAATTATAAATATATGTTAGATGATGGAAAACACAAATTCATGTTAGTGGGAAAATCTTTTTAATTATTATTGTTATACGTGCTCCAATTCTCTCTGTCTTTGTATTTAATATGATTAAATACATTAATTGACATCAGAGACACCTTAAATACACTTTTGTAGTTGTAAATTTCTAAATTGAACAATTTATTTTCACTTTTTTATTACATACAACATTTATATTATATATATGAAATTTAAAGTTGATTGAGATTTTATATTTGTTAAGACTTAATTATCAAAATGCAGTGAAGAACATTGACTTTCGTTGGGTAAAATAGAGAATTTACACTTTCAAAAAACGCCAAAAGTTCTTTTAGCGAAGATTTGCATGTTGTGATTTTGCTTCGCTGAATTATATTTCATAAAGTTGATTGGTTGTTTTTTACCACTTTCTATGGAATCACATTGATATTGTAATTATAGATTATTACTAATCCACATTAACCATTTTAACACCCTCTAACAGGAAAAAAAAAATAGATATCCCAGTCCGTCTGGGAGGACTAAACTATCCTCTGTACAAATCCTACGTAAATAAATTTCCCACCTACACTCTTTTCTTGCATCCCTATATATCTCAATCGTCCCTGATCTGTCTCCTAGTAACTACTCCCTTGCCAATGCTAACTTGGAGAACTGATTAACTGCTTCTCTTTAATGTAGGAAATGGCCATTTTTATAAATGTGTGTTCTAACAATGAAGAGAAAACGTTAACAGGTTAAGTGGTTGAAAACTACATAAAAGAGAGACAGAGAGAGAACTTACTTAGAAAGGAATTTATAAAACTGAATCATCAAATCCATGTCATTCTCATATACAGTACTGACTTTTCCCAGGCACGAGATACCAAATCTTGGATCTGTTGTGTAAATTATGAAAATAACAATGTTTAAGAATTAATTACTGTCGAGTTTGGTTATGCAATAAAACAGATTCTGCAAACAATCATTTCAGATATCATAATGCACAAGTTCAACCCACACCTATCCTAAACTAAAATGGTAGGAAACGAACAGTCATGTACAATAAAAGTTTTTTAAGAAAAAGCCATTCCCATCAAAAGTGAAAACTGCAGTTTTTTAAGACTTTATTTTAGGGAAGAAACAACATTCAACCTTAAATTCCAACCAAGCTATAGTCCCAATACTACATCCAGCAAAAGTAAATTCATAAACTAATCTGCATTGGCATGTCTAGCTGGTTGATATAAAAGTATCGCCAACCATGTATCTAGGGTCAACTCTTTTTTTTCCAAGAACAAAGACCAAGAGAATGAAGCACAACACATTTTACCATGAAAAGTTCTAGATGATTTAATCCATTATGTGTTTGATTCTCTTTATGGATGAAAAAGTGAATAACCAATAAACCTCTAGATGGTTTTGCATCTAGGGAAAAATAAACCACAATCACGGATGCAAGGAAACAGATCACGGACGATTGATATATAGGATTGTGAGTTTACACAAAAAGTGTCAAGATGGCACAAATAATATGAAAAGTAAGGCTCCAGAGCTACAAAGTACAGACAATTAATATATCACAATAAAACCGACATACCAACACCCATCTCCGAAAATATCTCTTCTTGTATTGCAGTGGTCACAGCAACAGCCTCCTGCTCATTAGTTATGAAATCCAGGAAATGACAATGAAATTCATTACATACTAACTTTTATCACATAAATGCAAAGGGCAAAAGCTTCATTTTACATCGACTTGCTACTTAACTCTATCAAGCATTTAGGTGTCTTTCCATAAAACTAACCCCACATACACAGATGCTAATAAAAAAAGGATAAAAAGTGCACAACAATGCCCCATGTGGTTTGTGATGGCTGATAAAAAAGGGCAATCCAAAGCACCAGATCCCCCAACTAGTGAAGTCTAAGAAGGGTAGATATGTGTAGCCTTATCCCTGCAAGCAGAGGGGTCGTGTCCAGAATTTAAACCTTCAAACCTTATTGTTGCACCAAGATTTGCCCTCCTCTACTGACTAATCAAACAATAAATCAGAAAGCACAGACAAAGGTTATAGTTATCCAGCTCAGCTGTCACGTTAATCAATTCAAATTGGAGGAAGAGACTAACAAGGAAACGAAGTCAAATTCTGTCAACGTTCCTACATAATCATTTTACGACAATAATTAGGTTTGGGGACATTATGATTTTGGCATTTTTCATCAAAATTAGAACATAACCTCCATACCCAGCACGGATCTTCTATTACACGATTTATTTAAATTAAACTCTAATCTTAATTAAAAAGCAATACAAAAAAGTCAACTAAGTCTAAATTTTTTGCAATTAATTTCCCTCACAAACCCGTCTATTATTTCTTAAATCAAGGACGGCTAAGGGAACTAAATATGTGATACGATGAGAGAAGCAAAGTCGCCTTATATTGAAGATAAGGCCATTTAATCAGACTTGTAAGACATAAAGGTGAAAAGGGAAAAACGACGATAAAGAAATTCACCTGTTTATCCTGTACAGCCCCAGAAATCTTTTTCTTCACATCTACATATACAATAGATTGCGAAAATCAAACGCGAGCAGCAATCAATCATTCGATAAGCAGAAGAACAAAATAGGGTTACGAAAATAGAGTACCAGGTTGAGAAGTAAGGAAACTGAAACGATCGAAAAGATGGAAAAGTTGCTCTCTTGTTAACATCCCAGTACTTTGCGTCCCAGATGCCATTCGTAACGCTCATAAACACGGTAGAACGAAGATATACCAGCCTGGCGAGTCACTGTGCAACTAAACCGATACGATTAATGGCGAATCACGGAGCGAATAAGCTTAAGTTCGAACCTTTCCACACATTCATACTTTTACTTTAGATAAACATGGTCTCGAATATCATATTTTACCATTAAAAGTAAATACAAATACGTAAAATGTTACCATTTTCCTTTTTTCATTAACCTCGGCTAATTTATTATTAAATCAATAAAATGTCACAGTACAGGGAAACTGAAAGTATATTTTATCATTCCTCAAAGAAAAATCAGAAACAATAAAAAATTTCTAAATACTACCACTAAAAACAAAATAAGCCCATAAACTATTTGACAACGGTAAAAATACAGTGAAATATTACTATGATGAAAGACGAAGGCTAACTCCAATAAACTAAAAATCTTCATCCATCTTGAAGACGTGGGCATCACCGTTACCGTTCAAGCTGGACATAACTGAAGCCTTCTGGTACTCCCCCACGCGCTTCTCGAAGAAGTTGGTCTTCCCCTGCAGTGAAATCAGCTCCATCCAATCGAATGGGTTCTGTACATTGTACACCTTCCCGCACCCAAGCGCACCGAGCAACCTATCAGCAACAAACTCAATGTACTGACTCATCAAGGCCCCGTTCATCCCCACCAACGCACAAGGTAGCGCGTCGCAGACGAACTCCCTCTCGATGTCCACAGCATCGCGCACGATCTCCCTCACGCGCTCCTCGGGGAGCTTGGTCCGCATAATAGAGTAGAGCAGGCAAGCGAAGTCGCAGTGGAGACCCTCGTCGCGGGAGATGAGTTCGTTGGAGAAAGTGAGTCCAGGCATGAGGCCCCGTTTCTTGAGCCAGAAGATGGAGCAAAAGCTTCCGGAGAAGAAGATTCCCTCGACGCAGGCAAAGGCGACGAGGCGCTCGGCGAAGGACTCGGAGGAGTCGATCCAGCGGAGGGCCCAGTTGGCCTTCTTGGTGACGCAGGGAATGGTGTCAATGGCGTGAAAGAGACGGGTTTTCTCTACGGAGTCTTTTATGTAGGTTTCGAGGAGGAGGCTGTACATCTCGGAGTGAATGTTCTCGATAGCGATCTGGAAGCCGTAAAAGGCGCGGGCCTCGGAGACCTGGACCTCCTTCATGAAACGGCCGGCAAGGTTTTCTAGTACGATGCCGTCGGAGGCGGCGAAGAAGGCGAGGACATGGGTGACGAAATGGCGCTCGCCGTCGGTAAGAGTGTTCCAGTGACTGATGTCCTGCGAGAGGTCCACCTCCTCCGCCGTCCAGAACGAGGCTTCTGCTTTCTTGTACATTTCCCAGATTTGAGGGTATTGGATAGGGAACATGCAGAATCGATCAGGGTTAGGGGCCAAGAGAGGCTCTTCTGGAATTGAAGGCATTTTGGGATTGGAAATGGGGAGAAAGAAAAGGGTTTTTTCTTTACAGAATTGGGGTTTAGGGTTTGAGTTGAACAGAGGGGAGTGGATGGTTTATATAAGGAGGTGATTGAAAATTGGAGCGGGGAATTTGAAAATTTAAGGTAAAGCTTGCGGGAGAAGATTGGAGGTGGGAGAGGGTAGTTTGGGGATTTTGCAGGGCGTATTGGAGAAGCTTTGGTTTTGAAAGAGTGTTGCGGCGGGAGGGAGGGATTATTGTTTTGGTGGGAATTTTGGGTTCGCGGGATATTTGGAGGGTTTGAAATTGAAAAGAAGAGTAATGGGAAGCCGTTTTGGTGAGGTAGGAGGAGGGGTGAAATTTGAAACCCACGTGCTTCCGCTGTTTGTATTCTTATGTTCTTATCCGTTAAAACTCAACAGTATCCACGATTTTAACGCTGCCCGTGCTGTCCGTACTTGTGTCACACAATACACGTGTCTACACGCTCTCCAGAAGGGGATTTACAAGTCAGAAAAATCTTAGATATTTCTGTTAATCATTTACCTTTATTTATTTAAAATCTATTATTTAGTTTTTGTTTTATAATGTTTTTATATTTAAATATTTAAATTTATTGTACTAATACATAGAAGTAAATATTAAAAACGAATCAAAGACCTTATAATAAATTTAACGCTTCGCAAGGTTAAAAAAGATCAAAGAATTCTAAAATTATTTCTATTAAAAGTTTGAAAACTTTTGTGAAATACATTGTATAAAACATAAATCTTAAACTTCTTAACAAAATCATGTGTTAGAATAAATCATTTGAAGAATTAGTTAGAACAATGTTGAATGAAACTTTATTAATAAAATACTTTTGTTATATTTTATTCTATATATAAAATACATTAATAAAAAAAATAACAAGAGTCATCATTCTTATAGGACATATACAATGAAATTAGAAAAAAATTTCTTGTAAATTGTTATTTCACTCTTTAGTAATAAAAGTTATAATCTGATGAGTATAAGAATGCAACTAATCCAAAATGCTAGATTTATGAAAAACTATGGAGGAGATGATATTATTAATTTTTTTCATAAAAATATCACTATAATCCAAAAGACAAAAAGGGAAAAGATTAAGACATGTTTGTTTATTGGTGTTTTACAAATTATTCTCACCATAATCATGAGTCATCCAAAGAAAAATTAAATTATTTGAAAGGACAATATATGAATGAAAAAAAATTGAGATTATTTGAAAGGACAATATAAATGGAACAACAAGATTTGAGGCATGAAAGTGTTAAATTTGATATGAAAGTTTAAGCTCCAAAGGATAAAAAAAATATGAGACAATTAAGGAATTATCAAATAAATTGTTGAGTATGGCTAACAAGATATCATGATTGAGTAAAGAGTTTCCAAATTTTAAACTTGTGGAGAAATTTTGGTGGTAGTATGCGAGAGATACGAAACTTCTATTACTTTGTTGGAAAACACATTATTTGTCTACAATTACCTTGACAAAAGTGATACAAGTCTTACAAAGCACAAGAGAAACGAATATTAATAAGAAAAGATTGTGAAGTATGAGATATTTTACTTCATATTGGCAAAAATGCTTTCAAAATCAAGAATTACAAAATAAACAAATACAACCAAATCGACCACCCATGGGTTTCTCCATCTTGTCCCTATTATAAGAAAAACAATCACTAACAAACAAGTCTTGATGAGGCTAGATGCAAAATGTCAAAATTGTTATCAATCTAAACATATGGAAAAGATATGTAAATCCAAACATCCAATAGGATGTCAAGATTGTAGAGGACGAATCAAAGGAAGAACTCCTTTTTGACACATCATGCGTTACACCCAATAAATATACAAATCATATGAAAGGATAATCAATTATAATCCCAAATAATCGATTATTTTCGAGATAAAACTCAAAACCAATGCACATATAATTGATTATAACTAATGATAATCGATTATTTTCGAATCAAAACACATCCTGGATAGAATTCTGTAACGTGTGAGAATAAAAGGGCCACTGCAGGGATAGAATGGGCAAGGGAAATGGAGGCTAAGGATGAGTCAGTTGGGAAATCAAGCCACATGGCACCGATAGCAGAAGAGAGTGGCAGACAAAGGCACGTGAGAGAGAGAATGGAAAATACAAGGTTGAGGGATTTTCTGTGGGGAAAGAGTGGGTACAAAAAGGGGGAATTAGTTAGCATGGGAGGGAGGCAATGATTGGAAATTCTTCTTCTCTCTCTAGGACGTATTCCTTCATTGTTGAGACCAACTTTGGGTATTGCAGCTTTTGTTAATTCTCTGTGATACCATTCGAACTCACAGAAAAGTAAATAAATTCTGGAATAGACATTTCTAATTCTCAATTTTTTTGGTGCCTTGCTCTGTTTCATATTACTGTTACATTGAGTATTTTACAAACTGGTGCTTTCATTGCCATGGCCGAGGCTTCATCTTCAAATGACCTTAAGCAGATCCTAGAGCTCATGCAGAAACGTGAACGGGAGCATGCTGCAGAGATGCAAGAGCTTCGTAATGCCATTGAGGATTTGAAGGAGAATATGGCACATGGAGGAGCGAACTCACGGAATGTTCATGGACCGTTTCAGGTCAGAAATGTTAAGCTCGATTTTCCACGTTTTGATGGTTCAGATGTGCTACAATGGATTTTTAAAGCGGAGCAATTCTTCGACTATTATGATACTCCGGATGAACATCGGTTGACCATAGCATCAATTCATTTCGAGAAAGAAGTGGTGTCGTGGTATCAAATGATGCAAAGAAATAATCCCATTGTTTCATGGAACACCTTGGTCCGTTCATTAGAGTTGGAATTTGGCCCTTCACCCTTTGAATCACCTAGATCTACCTTGTTTAAACTCACCCAATCCACATCTGTTAATGAATATTATGTGCAGTTTACAGCTCTTGCTAATAGGATTTATGGTGTTAGCAATGAAGCCCTTCTAGATTGCTTCATCAGTGGGTTGAAAACCGACATTCGTAGAGAGGTGATAGCTCAAGCACCAAACACAATCCTTAAAGCCATTTCCCTAGCCCGACTGTTTGAAGAGAAATACACCTTCAAACCACGACCATACAACCCAAACACTTCCAGAAATGCCACCCAAAACACATCACCTACCACTACCCAATCTTATAACAATCCACCACAACAACCCATTCTTCCTACCCCGAACCAAAGGCCTTTTCCCCAAAACTTCCGTCCCAATAATATTAAACGCCTGTCACCAGCAGAAATGCAATCACGTAGGGAAAAAGGACTGTGTTATACATGCGATGAGAGGTTCACGGCAAACCATAAGTGTCCAAATCGCCAATATACATTTTTACAAGTTGAATATGATGAGGAGGAGCAGACTGATACGGAAATTCCTGCATTAGAACAGAACTTGGAACACCATCTCTCTCTTAATGCTTTAAAGGGTGTTACCGGTGTGGGAACTATGCGCTTTCACGGGTCATTACAAGGCCTGACTATTCAGATATTGTTGGATAGTGGGAGTTCTGATAATTTCTTGCAACCACGAATTGCTCATTGCCTCAAGCTGTCGGTGGAGGATATGTCATCGTTGCAGGTCCTGGTAGGCAATGGAAATGCCATGTCTACCGAAGGGGTTATTAAAGAAGTCCAGGTTAAGGTGCAAGGCCATACACTTAAACTTCCAGTGTACCTATTACCAGTTTCTGGTGCTGATATGATATTAGGTGCTGCTTGGTTGGCTACTATCGGACCACACATTGCAGACTATCGTTCACTCTCCTTAAAGTTTTATTCGGACAAACAACTCATTACATTGCAAGGTGAGCCACCAACTCTGCCAAAACCAGCAGAGTTGCATCAGATGACTAGATTATGCAAAACTGATGCCATTGCAGAACTGTTTACATTACAATTAACTCAACCTCTAACACTAGAGGATGATGACTTGGTTATCCTAGAGCATATTGACCCTGACATTGCACTTCTACTTCACACATACAACATGATATTTGCAAAACCGAAGGGCCTTCCCCCAAATAGATCTCAAAACCACCGCATTCCTCTCTTGTCGGATGTGAATGCTGTGAGAGTGAGGCCATACAAATATCCTCACAGTCAGAAACAACAAATTGAGAATATGGTGCAACAAATGTTGGACGAAGGCATTATTACCCATAGCACCAGCCCCTTCTCTTCCCCAATTATTTTGGTCAAAAAGAAAGATGGTACTTGGAGATTTTGTACTGACTACAGAGCACTGAATGTTGTCACAATCAAAGACAAATTTCCTATCCCAACTGTTGAGGAGCTACTAGATGAATTATTTGGTGCAAAATTCTTCTCTAAGTTGGACCTCAAATCAGGCTATCACCAAATATTGGTTCATCCTGCTGACAGATTCAAAACTGCCTTTCGAACTCATCAAGGCCACTATGAATGGCTTGTCATTCCATTTGGATTAACAAATGCACCAGCAACTTTTCAAGCTCTCATGAATGACATATTTAAAGGCCTTCTAAGGAAATTTATCTTGGTTTTCTTTGATGACATACTTATATATAGCCCTTCATGGTCTGCACATATTAGTCACTTGGAAACAGTTTTGCACATCTTGAAAGAACACACATTATATGCCAAATTATCCAAATGCTCTTTTGGTCTTTCTCAAGTGGAATACTTAGGCCACATTGTCTCGGGGAATGGAGTAGCAATGGATGCTAACAAGGTTCAAGCTGTTTTACAATGGCCCTGCCCTCAGAGCACAAAACAGTTGAGAGGATTCCTTGGTCTAACAGGTTATTATAGACGATTTATAAAAGGGTATGCTGCACTAGCTCATCCCTTGACCAATCTCTTGAAAAAGGATAACTTTCAATGGACACCACATGCAACTCACGCTTTTGAGGCCTTGAAACAAGCCATAACCACTGCTCCTATATTAACATTACCAGATTTCACCAAAACCTTTGTCTTGGAGACTGATGCATCCGGTTTGGGGATTGGTGCAGTTCTAAGCCAAGACAAGCATCCTATAGCATTCTTTTCAAAGAAATTATCTTCTAGGATGCAACACAAATCTGCTTATACCAGGGAATTTTATGCAATCACTGAAGCAATTGCAAAGTTCAGGCATTACTTACTGGGTCATAAGTTCATCATTCGCACTGATCAAAAAAGCCTCAAAAGTCTAATGGATCAATCCCTCCAAACCCCTGAGCAGCAGGCATGGCTCCACAAATTTTTGGGATATGATTTCACCATTGAATACAAACCAGGCAAGGATAACCAGGCTGCAGATGCCTTGTCCAGATCCTTTTTTATGGCATGGTCCAATAGAGAGACTAACTTGATGTCCAAAATTCAGAAGGCCACACAGCTCGATCCTCATCACCAAGCTATTATCCAAGCTTGCGTAGCAGGGAAACCACCTAATAATCATTACTCCTACTCTGATGGACTCTTACACTGGAAGCACAGAGTGGTAATCCCTAGAGATGCGGAAATTATACAATTGTTGCTCAAGGAATACCATAGTTCAACAATAGGGGGTCATGCTGGCATAACTAGAACCATGGCTCGACTGTCTTCCCAGTTTTATTGGTCTGGCATGCTCAAAGATATCACTCACTATGTCCAAGAATGTCTTATCTGTCAACAAGCTAAATCTGCCACCACCCTTCCAGCAGGGTTACTTCAGCCACTCCCCATTCCCCATCAAGTTTGGGAGGATATAGCCATGGACTTCATTACGGGTCTTCCACCTTCCAATGGGTATACCGTCATCATGGTTGTCATTGACCGGTTATCTAAGTATGCTCACCTTGCTCCCTTGAAAGCAGATTATACTAGTAAGATTGTGGCAGAATTGTTCATTAACATAGTTGTCAAACTGCACGGGTTCCCTCGAACTATAGTTTCTGACAGAGATAAGATCTTTATCAGCCACTTTTGGCAACACCTCTTCAAGTTGAGTGGCACAACATTGAACATGTCTACAGCTTACCACCCGCAATTAGATGGACAATCAGAAGCCTTGAATAAGTGTATAGAGATGTATCTTAGGTGCTTTGCCTTTGATAATCCTAAGACATGGACCTGACTATTACCATGGGCAGAGTTCTGGTACAACTCAGCATTCCACAGCAGTCTACAAACAACACCATTTAAGGTGGTGTATGGAAGAGATCCCCCGGCCATAATTAAATACACCATGGATCCTAAAGACCCTCCATCCGTCCAGGAGCTCTTAGGGGAACGGGACAGGGCTTTGACTCAATTGAAGAGGCAACTTCTTAAAGCCCAGGAAAAAACTGAAGAAATATGCTGATAACAGACGCATGCATAAAGAGCTGAAGGTTGGTGATTTGGTTTTGGTCAAACTCCAACCTTATAGACAACACTCCATTACCTTACGAAAAAACCAGAAACTGGGACTGAGATATTTTGGCCCATTTCCAATCATCGATCGCATTGGCTCAGTGGCCTATAAACTTTTATTGCCTGAAACTGCTAAAATCCATCCCATCTTCCACATATCTCAGTTGAAAGAATGTAAAGGTCCCCATGACATTGTTTATGTTCCACTCCCATTGACTACACTGCCCGAGGGTCCCTTGTTGATGCCTCAAGCTATCCTTCATAAACGTAACATAATCCGCAGGTCCAACATCATTTCCCAAGTCTTAGTTCACTGGGCTGGGTTATCTGAAACAGAGGCCACATGGGAAGACCTTAAAGAATTTATCAAAGCCTACCCTGACTTTAACTTTAACCTTGAGGACAAGGTTAGTGTTGATGGGGAGGGTATTGTAACGTGTGAGAATAAAAGGGCCACTGCAGGGATAGAATGGGCAAGGGAAATGGAGGCTAAGGATGAGTCAGTTGGGAAATCAAGCCACATGGCACCGATAGCAGAAGAGAGTGGCAGACAAAGGCACGTGAGAGAGAGAAAGGAAAATACAAGGTTGAGGGATTTTCTGTGGGGAAAGAGTGGGTACAAAAAGGGGGAATTAGTTAGCATGGGAGGGAGGCAATGATTGGAAATTCTTCTTCTCTCTCTAGGACGTATTCCTTCATTGTTGAGACCAACTTTGGGTATTGCAGCTTTTGTTAATTCTCTGTGATACCATTCGAACTCACAGAAAAGTAAATAAATTCTGGAATAGACATTTCTAATTCTCAATTTTTTTGGTGCCTTGCTTTGTTTCATATTACTGTTACATTGAGTATCTTACAAATTCATATGTTCAAAACACACATACATAAACCTTAAACCACGGGTGAACATATCCAACACATCATGCATGTATTCAAGCATCACATACCCTTATGAACAAACCTTAATACATACATTACATCACTTGAATCATCCAAAACCCATCATTATGCAGATTACAACCTAATCAAGCACAACATACTACATATGACCATCATACCACTCTTCACATATTTTTGTATGGTAAACCCCCAAACAAAATATCTTTGTCCTCCATTAGCTTCAATACATATTATCATGGGAAAACCCAACAAAACCATACATACTTTCATAGGGAAACCCAACACAAACACGATATAAATCTCATTATCATGCAGAAACATCCATTATACGTGCATATACCCTTACCCAACAATAGCAATAGGTAATCATAATCGTAATCGCGTAGACATGTATTAAATTAATAATTTCTATGCAAGAAAATCAATAGTACATAGCATACAACAAACAATGAAAACAAGGTAAACTTTCTCATACTCAAGAAAATCAAGAATATACCCATATTCATCATACAACAAAACAAAGGTAAGTTTCCACATACCTTGGCCAATCCTAAGGCTTTATCTACAACTTCAAAATACTATCAATCTCCTTTTGCACTACTTTTTTGCAACTCATTTTCTTCTTTCCCAGAACGTCTCTCTTTCTCTCTTCCTCTCTTTTTGTCTCTCTTCCACGTTTGGTTTTAGGATTTCTAAAGATACAAACCCCTTCTCTCTCCTTTCTTTCTCTATTTTATTTTCCAACTTATCTTTTAATTTAAAGATATGTTTCTAAAGCCTTGAAACCACCTATCTCTTACTCTATCATAACTCAAGTAAACTTTTAAAATGCAACTGTCCATCCTACCAAGACTCACTTCACACTTTTTTTAAGTTTTAGTTTAGATATTTAACATGCATCATTTACTTTCTACACCCATTATTAAATTTCTACACCAATTAAGAAAAGGTAAAAGACCATTTTACTCTTAGACAAAATAAAAAAAAATCTAAGTTTCTTTTAAAATTTATTCTCTATGAATTGAACCCACATCCAGTTAGTTCTAGTCAACACTTCTACTATCAAACCAACTCATCACNTTACAAACTGGTGCTTTCATTGCCATGGCCGAGGCTTCATCTTCAAATGACCTTAAGCAGATCCTAGAGCTCATGCAGAAACGTGAACGGGAGCATGCTGCAGAGATGCATGAGCTTCGTAATGCCATTGAGGATTTGAATGAGAATATGGCACATGGAGGAGCGAACTCACGTTATGTTCATGGACCGTTTCAGGTCAGAAATGTTAAGCTTGATTTTCCACGTTTTGATGGTTCAGATGTGCTACAATGGATTTTTAAAGCGGAGCAATTCTTCGACTATTATGATACTCCGGATGAACATCGGTTGACCATAGCATCAATTCATTTCGAGAAAGAAGTGGTGTCGTGGTATCAAATGATGCAAAGAAATAATCCCATTGTTTCATGGAACACCTTGGTCCGTTCATTAGAGTTGGAATTTGGCCCTTCACCCTTTGAATCACCTAGATCTACCTTGTTTAAACTCACCCAATCCACATCTGTTAATGAATATTATGTGCAGTTTACAACTCTTGCTAATAGGATTTATGGTGTTAGCAATGAAGCCCTTCTAGATTGCTTCATCAGTGGGTTGAAAACCGACATTCGTAGAGAGGTGATAGCTCAAGCACCAAACACAATCCTTAAAGCCATTTCCCTAGCCCGACTGTTTGAAGAGAAATACACCTTCAAACCACGACCATACAACCCAAACACTTCCAGAAATGCCACCCAAAACACATCACCTACTACTACCCAATCTTATAACAATCCACCACAACAACCCATTCTTCCTACCCCGAACCAAAGGCCTTTTCCCCAAAACTTCCGTCCCAATAATATTAAACGCCTGTCACCAGCAGAAATGCAATCACGTAGGGAAAAAGGACTGTGTTATACATGCGATGAGAGGTTCACGGCAAACCATAAGTGTCCAAATCGCCAATATACATTTTTACAAGTTGAATATGATGATGAGGAGCAGACTGATACGGAAATTCTTGCATTAGAACAGAACTTGGAACACCATCTCTCTCTTAATGCTTTAAAGGGTGTTACCGGTGTGGGAACTATGCGCTTTCACGGGTCATTACAAGGCCTGACTATTCAGATATTGTTGGATAGTGGGAGTTCTGATAATTTCTTGCAACCACGAATTGCTCATTGCCTCAAGCTGTCGGTGGAGGATATGTCATCGTTGCAGGTCCTGGTAGGCAATGGAAATGCCATGTCTACCGAAGGGGTTATTAAAGAAGTCCAGGTTAAGGTGCAAGGCCATACACTTAAACTTCCAGTGTACCTATTACCAGTTTCTGGTGCTGATATGATATTAGGTGCTGCTTGGTTGGCTACTATCGGACCACACATTGCAGACTATCGTTCACTCTCCTTAAAGTTTTATTCGGACAAACAACTCATTACATTGCAAGGTGAGCCACCAACTCTGCCAAAACCAGCAGAGTTGCATCAGATGACTAGATTATGCAAAACTGATGCCATTGCAGAACTGTTTACATTACAATTAACTCAACCTCTAACTCTAGAGGATGATGTCTTGGTTATCCTAGAGTATATTGACCCTGACATTGCACTTCTACTTCACACATACAACATGATATTTGCAAAACCGAAGGGCCTTCCCCCAAATAGATCTCAAAACCACTACATTCCTCTCTTGCCGGATGTGAATGCTGTGAGAGTGAGGCCATACAAATATCCTCACAGTCAGAAACAACAAATTGAGAATATGGTGCAACAAATGTTGGACGAAGGCATTATTACCCANGGATTGAACCCACATCCAGTTAGTTCTAGTCAACACTTCTACTATCAAACCAACTCATCACATAGATAATGGCACACATATATCACAATCCAACAAACATACCAAAACATGTGTTGCACTTTATTAAAATAACATTGAAAAAATAACATAATTATGTTCTAACAAATATGTAGGTACACAATACCTTATTAGACATATCAACTCTTAAAAAAAACATACTCAAGTTTTAAGAATACTTTCTTTCTAAGACCTATATTTTTCTCGAGTGTTACATTATATTGAGAACTTTTTAAAGAGCTCAACAAATCTAGTATTTCTAAAGTAAGAATTGAGAATGGAGAATAAATTATTACAATTAAAGTTCATTCATATATTAAATTAATTTTTTATCTTAAATGTTCTTGAGATTAATCAAAATATGTTAAGTGTTGTTTAATTGTTAGAGAAAGATTACAAATGTCATTTGAAAAAGAAATTGTGTGAGTAAAGATGCAAACAACCTATAAATATTCAAAGTTCTTATGAAATATGAAAGACAAAAAATTTGTTCTGGATTTTACAAAAAAGGAGTTCGTTAGAAAAGATGTAAATATAAAAGAAGGATCAAGACTAAAAGAATATGGACATCTCTTGAAGAAGTTTGATGTCCAATAGAAGGAAGTGGATGGAATATCACATCCTAACATCCATTAATTGCCTAGCGTTACTGTAACGCCCCAAAATTTTGGGTCTCACGAGTTCTTACAAAAATCGATAATTTTAAAACTTTCTTATAGTGCAAAATCGTATTTTTCAAAAACCTCCATAATTAAACATGCTGACTAAATCAAATTGTATTAGTTCCGAAAGCAATGTCCAATTACATATTTTCAAAATAATTAAAATAACCAAGGAAATAAAAATACTCCACATTACATTGTATCAAAAGTCCAATTAAAAGAACTATAAAGAAAACCCAAATCCTTTCTTCGTCATCTCACGAATCTATCATGCCTCTAAAACATCTATAATATCATTTGCTCACGTATAACGCATTATAAAATCATCACCGATAATTTCATTCACAAACACACAACACAAACACCTATAAGGTAAGCTACCGATAAAACAACGATAAAACAAGCTACACACATATCGATTATATCAACATTAATCAAATATCTCATACATAAAAGTAATAACAATAGAATTTCTAATCTTCTGACATGAAAATTTCAATCATCTTAAATTACTCGATCCTCGATGTTATCACAAACATCATAAACATAGACTAACCATATATCCTCTCAACAAAACATATGCTAACTACACCCACCACATGACACCATAACTATCAACATAACATTCTCTAAAGCATCATTATCATTACGATCATCAACACACGTACCTCCATCATGATAACCTCATCATGAACCCCATTACGAGCACCACAATACCACAAACACTATAGTAAAAAGAATCAGTGACACTCTTGTATCCTATCTCACCAGTTTGTAGTTGCTCCTACAAACCATCTATAGCCCCCTATGCTCGAGTAGCCCTGCAATCTAGCTAAGGAACATGCCTCCTACCATACAAGGATAAGGAAAACACCATCACTCCCACACAAGGAAGTTCAATACTCGAACATCATTATCTTTTCCACAACTATTTGCCAAAGAAAATATCCCTCCCTTTTCAACAACCAATGCCAAAGGGAGTCACTCATATTCGTAGATAATCTTAGGATTTGCTAGGTACAAGAAGTAGACCTTTCCTCCACTCTTATGCTCATCAACCACACACTCAAGTACATCCCAACACTCACTCATGCTTCAATCTCAAACACAAGTCAAAACTGACCTTAAACATAACTATTAATCTCATTCTTTGATTATCACCATGTTCTACAACTCCTTAAGCTTGGTCTACATGCATTCTTCATCTAATTCACCATTTTAAACAAAAATACATTGAGATAATCTATTATCATAAGTGATAATCGATTATTCTCGAGAAGTTCATAGTTACACCAAATACATTATGATATAATCGATTATTCTAGTGGTTCTAACACTTTAAATTTCCATATTCATCACATATGAAAGGATAATCGATTATCATCCCAGATAATCAATTATTCTCGAGATAGAACTCACAACCAATGCACATGTAATCAATTATCTATTATAATTAGTGATAATCGATTATTGTCGAATCAAAACACCTCCTAAATAGAATTCAAGTATTCAAAGCACACATACATCAACCCTAGACCACGAGGGAACCCAACACATAATGCATGCATTCAAGCCTCACATACCCCTATGAACAAACCCTAATACATACATTACATCACTTAAATAATCCAAAACCCATCATTTTGCAGATTACAACCCAAACAAACCCAACATATTGTATATGATCTCATACCACTTTATTAAAATAACATCAAGGAAATAACATAACTATATTTTAACAAAAGATGAACACACACACAACACCTAGTTAGATATATAAACTTAAAAAGAAAAATACTCAATTCTTAATAAAACTTTATTTTTATAATCCTTATTTTCTCGGGTATTACAGTTACTACTTAGAATGCATAGTGATAAATATAATGAGCTTAATACAAGAACAAACACATTGAAAAATATTAAATTGAATAAAAATGTGACCTTATGGAAGAAAGAAAAAAACATAACTTATAAGAAAAAAGAGGAGGAGAGAAAGGAGGATAATCAAATTTTAAATTTTGAATTAAAATAAAACAGAAAAAATGTTGAAAATATTTACTTAATATTTTTTCTATTTAAATTTCTATTTATGAAATCTGTCCAGAAATATCATTTATATAAAGTTAAAAACATATATATTTATTATTTAGATTTAAAAAATCAAAATTAAAATATTATAAATATTTGATATTTTGTCACATTTTTTTTCTATATATAATATATATAAATAGAATGAAGTAATAAATTTTTCCTATAACATATTTGTTGCTCTCACATAAATTATCTCAAGAATGTGAAGTGTACTGTGTCCTTTAATGGTTTATATTTGCTTTTTGTCGATCAATGTTAAAGGGTATATTTATTGAGATAATAATACTATTTGGACATAGTTATATAAATATATGTGGGTTTAATTATGTTTTAAAATCCCAAATTTGGAAATTTTTATGAAATTGTGATTATAAAATTACAACATTATAAAATTATAAAATAAAAAATTATAAATTATAAAATTTTAAAATAATAAAACAATAAAATAACATGTGACGATAAGTTTCTTAACAACTGCATTTCTCAGTTAAAAGAAAATTTTAATTTAAAAAATATAAATTTATTACATACACAATAAACTAAAAAAAATTATTAAGGACTCAATTAAAAGTTTTGAAATTTATCGAAAATTTAAAACATAATTAAGATATATATAATATAATATTTGATCCTTCAGGTAAAGAAATCAATTACTTATATAAATTTTTACTAATATTTGTGATTCTCGTAAAACAAAAAAAAAAACTTATACCTATAACCAAACTTTAGATTTTTGGATATTTTAGAAAAGTATTATTAAATGAAGTAAATAACTTATTGAATGTATATTTATTATTATCCTCAATATATGTGTAAACACTTAAATCTGAAATTGAGACCTAGGAATATGTTTTAGGAATCTGCAACAATTTATGATTGGATGTCTATTTCAATTAATCCAATTTTTATTGTCTGGCAAAAATTAAGGAGAAAATGTGTGGTTATAGTCTGAAAAACAAAAGGTCTTATTGTGGTATGTGAGGTATTGAGAAAAGCAGTTATGAGGGTGACAGTAAATAGTTGAGGTAGTTGTCTATTGCTTTTACTGATGTCTCTTCCATTTATAGCAGCGATGAACGTTCGATGATTAAATGTGCAACCAACTGCATTATGTTGTCTTACCTACACCCTCAACTCCTCCTCTTTATGCTTTTCTTCTCATTATTTTCTCTTTCAATGTTATGCTAACATCACCTTGTACTATGGCTACACTCAACTCTCTTAAGCTTTGTGCTTGTGTTGCATTGATGATGGTCGGTGTCTTCTTTATCTCTGCTGAATCAACACTTCTGGTTTATTTCAAGCGTGTTCCTCCACCTCGGTCTAGGTCTCCCAATGCAGTTTTTCAGTATCTAGTTGAGGGGTTGGATGGTTCCAATGCATGTAAGAGAAACACCTGCTCATTTTCATGTGAGGTATGAAATTCCTCTTCACCATTTTTACATTCCTTTGTAAGTTTATCTGGGAGTGAATGGTTTGCATGGACATGGTTTACTATAGTACACTAGTAACACGTTTTGTTTTGATCCATGTATTGTCAATGATTTGGCTATGAAATGTGTACTTTTATTTGCTACTGAATTGTGAAATGAGTTTGTTGATGTTCAGTCCATTTTGCTTGACAGCTTGATGGCAAAGTTTACCCTTGCCAGGATAATGGCATTTTGCTAACCAACTTAACTCTAAATCATGAGCATAGCTTTCTTCTCAATGTCAGTACAAACAAAGGAGAAAGAAATTCATCACTTTACTCATGGTTCATTGGTGAGCTCAATTTCTTTCCTTCCTTATCATCCCATTAAGTCTGATTCTCTGGTAATGATACTAAACTTCAGTAAATCCTTTTGGGGTTTTGGTAATGATTTTCTTTTCACTGAACAGATACAATACCCCCAACTGCTGCCGTTACTAGTAAACAGACCCATACAAATGGACAAAGGATAGCAATTGATGTCACGTTCAGTGAACCGTGCACTGGACTAGGAGGATTTCATTGCATGAACTCATCAAACTGTGATGTAAGTTGGTTTCTATTGATGAACATTGTGTTAAAAGTATCTATGATTTGCTATGTAATTTTCCTTGAAAACGTTGACAACATTTTCACTGTGGTTTAACATGCAAGATTATGGTGGCTGGTCCTGCCCAAGTGGATGCATCTTCTTTACAAACTATTAGATCAGGAACCAAATACAGCCTTGAAGTGATTATCTCCTCAAAAGTTACTTATGGGCGTGTAGTAATCACAATGGCGGAGAA